AATCAACCGGGGAAAGGGGTGGGGGGGGGGAAAGTAGGGAGGAGGGAGATGTATCAGGTGCAAACCACACGCACACCACCGCAGATGGTTTCCAGTACTTGGTTGAATTGTTCGACAGTATCTGCACTGAAACTCTCTGCGGCACCTGTACTGATTTTTCCCTAAGGGTATGCTGTGTGCTTACCATCTTTACCCAAATAAAATGGACCGTCATTATTGTAGTTCAGGCAATTTTCAGCGTAGACACAGTGATAATGACCGGGCGTTCTATTCTGAGAAGATGGTAGTTGACTTTCACATACCGTCTCTGACGCATCTGGGTTTGAGGGCGTACTCACACAACGACTTTTTCTATTCTCAGCTCTGGACCTGGACATTACTGCGGTCAGACACATCCACAACGGGCCTTAATTCCAGTCATGGTCATCTAGGGATGTCCTAATGTGTGAGTATTCCCTGATACATCTGGTTCTTCATTCACGATGGTTTTCTGGGGAGATCATGATGAAACCCATCTGTACTATGTGGACCCTGCTTTGTGTTCTCTTCCTTCCGCCATCTGCGGCCGAGTTTCTACCATGTATGGATGCACCTGCTCCGCCCGCCGCTAATGAAGCCGTGGCGTGCCCAACTTGCCTTATTAGAAGGTGACCCCGTCAACCACCCTCAGCCCGTGCAGCCCCTACCCGCCCCTACCTCCCCCCCAAAAGGGAAAAGTCTCTGCAACAGCAGAAAAACTGGTTCCCATTTTCGACCCTATAGAGTCAATGTACCAACATGCTGCCACTGTAAAGTTGTAAGCCCATTTTCACCCCCGAAAAAGTCCTCACATCCGAAATCGGACTTGGGTTACCCCTCGACTTGCATTAAACGCGCGCGTAAACCTCCGCAACGAAGGTAACGAGAGATCCTTTTTTTTTTTTTTTTTTTTTTTTTGGTTTAAACTTTAAAGCCCTTGTGTAAGCTTCTCCATTCTGATGGTGGTAAGAGAACCACCAGAATCGAGGGCTTATATGCGAGATCTACCACCCCTGTAAAGCTGTAAACCCAGTTTCACCAATCAGAGTCCTGACTTCCGAAATCGGCCTCCCGGGAGGGTGCCCCGGGATTTACGTTAGACAAGGATAGTACCTGCCTGATGGGCCTAAATGAGATATCTACGCGCTCATGGTAGCAACAGATGCATTTTTTCTCTTCATGCAAAGATCTCAAGGGAACGATAGCAGCCATGCGTCTCATTTTCACACGACACAATCTTCATGGGCATACGTTTTGTTATACGAAACACTCAAGTTTTTCGTAAGAGAGTCTGTGCTATGTCAGATCCAGGCACCACTGGTGCTATATTCAAACCTGGTCGTAATAGTGGTCAGGTTCGTGCTTTTCCAGCATGAATACGGCATCAGTGGTGCCTGGCCCTTAACCTACATAACATTTTTCATCCTACAAGGAGTAGTTTCCGATAGTCCCACTCATGCGTCATCATCATCATCATCACATCATCATCATCATCAATCTTTACAGTCGACAAGCCTTCTGCCCCACTGCCACAGAAAAGAAGCGGCTTTTTGTCACAATAAAAAAAGAGGCTTTCTGTCACACAAAGCGGCGGCTTTTTGTCACAACAATGAGGCTTTCTGTCACACAAAAGGGGGGGGGGTTGTCAGCATAATGAGGAGGCTTTTTGTCACACAAAAGTGGAGGCTTTTTGTCACACAAAAGAGGAGGCTTTTTGTCACCGCGGCTTTTTGTCACAACAACGAGGCTTTCTGTCACACAAAAGGGGGGGCGCTTTTTGTCAAGATAATGAGGCGGCTTTCTGTCACTCAAAACAGGAGCCTTTTTGTCACCACAAACTGAAAAGAGGTGCCTTTTTGTCACCACAAACTGAAAAAAGGCGCCTTTGTGCCACACAAAAGAGAAGGCTTTTTGTCACACAAAAGAGGAGGCTTTTTGTTACACCGCACGAGTACGTTTCGATCTTGACAGCCTAGAAAATTGGCAGTTCAGTGCGTTCTTCCGTGCGTTCTTGATGTCAGAGACTGAGACTCGGCCAGGGTTGAAGTTTGACTTTGACCAAGATTGGGACTGAACTTTGGACTGGGTCTGCGACTCCAATTTTGAAAACAAACGCAAATGGGCTCTGGCTGCGAGACTTTGCTAGAAATGAAATTGCCAGATTTTGCAGCAGCCGTCAGGTAACCAGATTTGCAGCAGACCCACTGGTACTTGTCCAAAAGGGAAAAAAAAACAGTTCAGTGTGAATTGGATGGCAAAGAAGGGGCTGCTTTTTTTTTTCAGCAAGCAGATTTTCCAGTTGGAAAATTCCCAGCGAAAAGATTAAAAAAAAAGAAAAAAAAAGGGCGTAGAATTGCTTCATATAACGGAAAAAAGAAATGAACAAGGATGAATAGGATAGGGGAAGGCCAAGAAATAAAAAAGGAAAAAAAAGGGATGACCAAATAAGACGGGGATGACGATGAGGACGATGGTTGGGGTGCTGGTAGCGAAAAGCGACAAAGGAGGAGAGAGAAAACCCAACGCCACCATCACGCAAAGATTGTTTATTACTTCATATAACGACGGCACAAAAGTGTGCGGTCCTCATCTAACGGCAACCGAGCCGAGCACTGCATATACACACTGACTGGTACAGTGTCGTGATAGGACACTGTAAGCAGAGGACGGTGACGATGGATAGACGGTGCAGACACCGTATCGATTCGCCGATAGACGCTTGGGCACCGTACTAATTCGCCGATAGATGGTTGGAGCAGTGGAGCAGCATTCCTTGCTGCTTGGACATCCATCTTACAAAGTCGCATTCATTAGGTGAAAGACAAACTGAACCCTACCTCTTATTACCCTGTTCCAACCCTCTTTACATCACCTCACAGGAATCCATTCCCTCCCTCCCTTAGCTAGGTGCCTCACTGACTCGCCCTCTCCTCTCACCCCCCCCCAACCTCTTCTTAACCCTGCAAATGAAACATTTGCCCCGTCTAACCTAAGTCGCGATTCCACAGACGGATGGTTAATAGGTGGCGACTGGATTGATCCGCAAAGTAGTCGTCACAGTTCTTGAAAAACTTTTGTTTAGTTTGGCGAATAAATACAGGTCTTCTTCCGGGTTGTGCCCCCACGCAAGTGTGAGGACTCTTTTATCTTCTTTCTCCGGACCATGCATCCCCTCACAAAAAAGTCTGAGGTCTGTCTGTGTCTCCACATAATTTTTGCCAGTGCGAAGCACAGGCGACACCCCACTTCTCACTTTCAATTTATATCCAAATCAATCTCCAGAAAAACAAAGTCTGAGGCAGTCGTGACATCCAATCGCGCACTTTTGACTTTCAGGTGAACTCAAAATGTCCTCCAAGGGCAATCAAGTCAAGGCCTGTTGCAGTGACTCACCCTGTCAGCCTTGTCTATTGCGGCGATCACCAGATCCCAAAACTTTGGAATGTTCATGGACTGAACCACAGCCACATTCGGAGACAGGCCGCTCTGGCGCCAAATATCGCAAACCGTCTGTCCGCTCGTTAACTGTCAAAGACGCCGAACAAAAAGAAAAAGAAAAAGACACAGCAAAAGAGGTAACCATAGGCTTTAAATCACGCATTGACTATTTGCTAAGGAATAGAAAACAATTGACCAGTTGCTGAAAAAATAGCAAAAAAAAAAAAAAAAAAAAAGGTTAAGCTCCTGTACGACCTCCTTAAATCAATCTCCCAGGGTTTCGTGGGCCATAACGGGGGGCAGCGTCAAGTGTGGGTACGCTGTTTACCCTTTGCAGGGACGCTGGACCCGGTTTACAGCAGGTGCAGCTCCCCATCAAAAGAAAGGAGCATCTCTTTTTTGGGAAAAACAAGGAAGGTTAGCTCAGATGGGCCCATCTCAGCTGGTATACCCATAAACTGTTGAAATACAGACCAGTGCTTGAGTCCAGATGGAACTAAAAAAAAAAAAAAAAAAACACGTTAACAGAGGGTAAGCCAGTAAGTTCACGTCACCACATGGACAGCCTGGCTACGGGTGAGAGCGATACTTCACTCAGATGTTTGACAAACTCCTGTCTTCATTCGAATAGAACGCCCATCATTATTACTGTATTTCGCCCAACTTTCAGTCTAGATACAGGCATAATCCCTGGGCAAAGTTCTATTCGGGTGAAGACGGTGGCTAAGAGGTCAAGAGTTCATTTTCTTCATCCCTTTTTTCTCCCCTCGTAATGGACTTGTGTATGGGACCTACGGGTGTATCCTCCTCTTCTTTTTTTTTTTTTTTTTTTTTTACCTCTTGGTGTATCCTCTGATTTTCATTCTGATGCTACGACTGTCTGTGCCGAGCAGTCTTTTTCTCTCCTCTTAGTCCTCTTAAGTGATTTCCACTTTTTGCTTTTCAAGCCTATGCTTACCACACACACCAAATGTGAGGACTCAGTGTGCAGATGCAAGGAGTATGAGCGAGAGCGATAGACAGAAAACCAAGTTGCAAAATCACACAGATGTTCAGATAGTCATCTACCAAGCAGAGAGCTTAAATGCACCAAGATTCCATCCAAGTGCAAAGCAGTGAACTCGTGTGCCAATGTTATCGCCCTCAGGGCCCATCAACACAGTATCCAATGTCGCTGATCTCTGTCTGGCGCCGAGCACCCAGCCTACTCTACTGAGCCTATCTAGCCTATCTACATTCTTGCAACAGCATCACTCCGACGTTGAAGACCAATGTCTACGACGTCAACACCAACGCCGACCTCGCACTTACACCAGGTACGTTCTCTCTCCTCCCCTCATCAGACCTTGACCACCCACTCATGCGACTCCTACCCGAAGACCACCTTCGCCCATCACCTGCATGCGCCCCTGCAGCCCGGCTATGGCTGCCGTACGCCTGCTACCCTGCAGCGCCCCTCTCACCTCATAGCGCCCGCGTGCGCCCCAGCCAGCAGCGCACATGCAGACACTTACGCAGCAACGCAGCAGCGTGTCCACATTGCCTGCCTAGGCCAGAATGCCCTCAGCCTGACGAGCGACCTTCCTATATGGAAGTCGCGGCCCTGTTTGGCTGCGTGGGCCTGACTGAGGAAGCTCCCAGGAGCTTCCGGTCGGGCCACAGTGTCTGCGTCCAGGTCCTGTGCGACAGTTGGGGGGCCTGGGCCCTTTCTGGTTGAGCACATCCAGGCAGCCTCCAGGCTCCATGTGTTTGCCGTCTTCCCATTGGCTCGCTGGGCCTCTGTGACGACAATGCTGCTTCATGACTCGCCCATGGCCACTTCCTGATGTGTAGGCCTCACACTGCGTGTGCCCAGGGCGCAACCACCCTGCCCTGGGCTCAACTGCTTGATGCAGCTGCTGCCTCTGGAGAGAGCCCAGGGAGACGCTCACATTGCACTGCAACCAACCGGCTTGCTGCAACTGTCTGATACCCACATTGGAAAATGCTGACATAAGGGCCTTGTTTCATGTTTGAAAACCTAAAGAAAAAAGAAGAAAAAAAAAGAGATAAGGACCTCTCGTGGATTTTCAGGCCCGCCTTCACTTAGGGCGGGCACGGTGCTTGCTGCGGGCCACAGCCCATATCATGTGCATGTTGGCTACGGCCCCGTGAGGCACATTCCTCACATTCCAACCCCCTTAGCTTCGAAAGTCCGCTGAGACGCTTCTTATGCAGGAGCCTTCCCCTTTAACCTTTTTTCATAATCTGCCACGATTTGAGGTGCTTTTTTCAACCAGTTCCTCTCTTGTCAACCATCGATCTTCTTTTGGATCCGTGTGATGCCTGAATCTGACCCGGTATTCCCTCTTGGGTTTTGGCGGTCTTCCTCTACCCACAGGCTTGGGAACATGCATATCTCTGTGCCCCAAAATGTCGTGGATGTCCACATGGCCATCCACGGTTGGGGCCAGCATTGATCTCCTTGATGGGAACTGCTGTGTCTCAGCGAAAGGTGCAAGTGTTGAGGCGTGAAACACAGGGTAAGTACGCAAGTGACCAGGGATTCGAATAACAAACAAAGGACCGTCCAACTCACTACCCACGATATCCAAGACTTCCCACGGACCAAAGTACTCAGGCATTAGTTTCCTAGAGATGCCAAACTCTTGTCCTAGCTCACTAGCCTTGACCCAGACATGTTCCCCTACCTGAAATGTGGACTGTCGTCGATGTTTGTTCTCAGAAGCAATCATTGCCTCTTGAGATTTCTTAATGTGCTCGACAGCCTGCTGCAACAACTTCTCATACTGGACACCAAATTATATAGTTCCAGGAGTTGCAGCAGATCCGTTTTCAGGCAGGAGGAAGTCTAGCGCAGATCTAGGCTTCCACCCCAAATGCAGCTAATTCGGACTGACACTGGTGGTGCTATGTACAACATTGTTGTACAGACTGGCAATGAGAGGCAACTTCTCATCCCAGTCATACTGGCTGGGCTTAATGTAATGCCTGAGCAGATGCTGCACCAAACGGTTCATCTGTTCAACTTGACCATTGGCTTCAGGATGATTCCCCGAAGTCATTTGGAGTTGGCTGCCCATCTGTTCAAGAGCCTTCTTCCACATCTCGCTGGTGAAACGGACATCTTTATCACCAACGATGAACTTGGGCAGTCTGAAATCACGCACCTAGTTATCCATAAATAACTTGATGACGCGATCCGTCCTCCCTGTTTCTGGCATGGCAAGTAGTCTAGCGTACTTAGTAAACCTGTCAACTACGACGAAAATGTGCCTCTTGCCACTCTTGCTGGTCACGAGTGTGACCATGAAGTCCATGGATACGCTTTGTCCTGGACCGGTAGGAATGGGCAAGGGCTTGAGTAACCCAAGTGGAGCTTGAGTTCGTGGCTTCTCCCGCTGACAGACTTGACAAGTCTGGGCGTACTTTTTCGCCTCATCAAGCATACCAGGCCACCAGAAACGATGTACCAAGTTAGCACTAATTTTCTTATAATTGAATTGCCTAGTTGCAGCATGACATTCTCCTAGAAACAAACTACGCAAAATCTCCCTAGATGGAACAAATAATCTTTTGAAGTTTGCCTTGTCAAGAAAGAGTAACCCATCCACCATCACAAACTCATCTGATGTGGCCTTGTCTTGGGCCTCAAGTTTGCGTATGATGTCCATCGCGACGAAGTCTTCCTTGCAGGCTTCCACCATTGATCGAATTACATCGTCATATAGGCCAAACTGAATTATTAACAACCCCAGGTAGTCTGCCCTACGTGATAGCGCATCAGCAACCTTGTTGTACTCTCCCTTTAAGTAATCTAGCTTTAAGTCGTATTGGTCTATGACTTCAATCCAACGTTTGAGTGCGTCAAAGAGGACAGGTTGTTTCTTGATCCACTTGAGTGTCCGATGGTCGGTTCTTAAGTAGAAAAACCTTCCCAATAGATAGTGTCTTCAATGGACAAGTGCTTTGTAGAGGGCATAGAGTTCCCTTTCGTAGGTGGACTCCGCCAACTTCTTTGATGGCATCTTCTTGCTCATATACTCGATCGGCCTCAACTTCTTCCCTTCTTGTTGAGCCAGCACCGCGCCAATGCCATATTGGCTTGCGTCGGTGGTCACGACAAACAACCTTTCAAGATTGGAGACCATGAGAACCTCATGCCCTTTCAGTTGCCGATGAAGCTCGTCTAACTCGGCCGGAGCCATTCTATAGATTCTTCCCTTTGGTGTCTTTCTACCTGGGATGATTTTTTATATGGCATGGACTACCTCCCTGTCTACGACTCCTAACGACTCCTCAAACAGATCAGGGTACTTAGTAACGACAACTTCTATCTCTGGGGTGATTGAACAGCCTCCCATTTTTCAGAGACAAAGACTAAGTACATACCTTCCTCTTGGTTCTATTTATAATAATTATAAAACGTTGATGCACACATGCAATCGTAAGTGTCTATCAGACTGCTAGCTTTATACTTGGCAAGTCTGACTGTCCTCCCTTCCGATAGTACATGCTTTAGCACCTTTCGATCCCAGTCGAACTGTAGTACATACCTAAGAACATGTCAAAATGGCAAGTCGTCGCTAACTAGGAACAACATTAAGTTCCCCACCTCCATAATAGAAGGTGCAGATTACATCCTTGACGTAATCATTGACAACTATGCACTCTTTGCTGGCTAGGGTAGATGCTACAGATCCACCCGGTCCCCTAGGCGCAGTCTCTCAACGCAGTCGTGACTTATGAAGTTCCGCATGGAGCCAATGTCTACGAAGTCACCACACTTGCGGCCATCTACACCGACTTCCAAAACGAAGTGCCCCGCTCTAGGACCTCTTGACAGTGCCACCCAAGTCTCATGAGGGTCCCTTGCCGACCACTCAGTTTCTAAGTCTTTTAAGGCTTCAAACACATCCAACAAACAGAGAATCGTTTGGTCTAGATGTGACCGCGGGGTGACCAGTCAATAGCCTCGACCAACACTTGAAGTGATGAGGGTACATCAACCACCTCAGCATAAGTAGAAGCAGCTACAACTCCTACGAGCCGGATGCGTTTCCTTGATTGTTGCTCGTAGAAGCAAC